GTGCCAGATTAATTTTGCTAATACACGGTTCTGGCCTTATTCTTCTTCTCAAAGATTGTTAGTGGTTCCCCATTTTAAAATAAGTACAGTTCAAACTCCTGTGCCTGAAATTTGAGACCTTCCTAATAGGGCATAACCTTGCCTTTTTAACCTTATAATATTCTACTTCATGCAATGTATACTCTAGCCAAATTGTACTCTTTGCTCCAGACAAACCCTGTGCTGCTCAAGCTTCTTGACTTTGTTCATGCTGTTCCTGAGGCCTAGAGTGTCCTCTTGCTCCCCTCTTTGCCTTCTGGATATCTACCTATCCTTTAATGACAGCTCCAGGGATACCTCCTTCATAAATCTAATTCTGAACCACATCCCTTAGTGGTAATAATGTTCACGTAGCACTTCTTGGGCAACATTCTGTACCATAGTGTGACCTAATGTTTGTGTCTTGTTCTCCTGTAATAATGGTGATGATGCCTGCAAGTTCTATGAAAGTAGGGATAGTTCTCTCAGTGTCTTGAATAATAAGTTTCTCAGTGTATTAAATTGAATGTTTAATAAAGATTTTTTTGACTGACTGAATTAAGGGAAGCAGGAACCTTGTTTCTCCTTATTTTTAAAAAAATTCCCCATGGTGCCTAGCTATTCAATTCAACAAACCTACTATGTGCAAGATGCCTTATGTGAGTCTTTATGAGACTTATTTCTACATGAATATGAGCCATTTTTGATGAGGGTATTAGTAGGGAAGAGGCAGTCTTTCACAAGTAATATAAAATATCAAACTCAACTTTACTATCATGCAATTTATTGGAAGATTTATTTTGTTGATTAGGGAAAAATCAGCATTTAATTCAATAGAGCAAAATACCTCTTCCAAGGTGTCTTTCATTCATACATCATAATCATTTAAGTTTATTTGAAAGATATAACATCAAAAATTCAATAACCCTCTGATCATAAATTTGGGCAGCGAGGTGGTACAGTGGATAGAACACTAGACTTTGAGTCCAGAAGACCTAAATTCAAATTTGGCATCAACACTTACCAGTTGTGTGAGTCTGGACAAGTCACTGAACAGCAACAACAGCTTATCATAAATATCAGAAGAGGTATAAAAGAGGGATATCTATGCTCAACAAAAGTGTTTGCCACTGGGTGGAAGAGATTCAGAATGGCAGTCCTAATTGAAGGAGGATTTCCTGCCAATGATTAGGGCAAGAAGTAAGATATCAGAGTAATATTAAGAAGTATAATCTAGCTTCCCACTGTCAGTGTAGGTCCTCCAGATGCTGTTGTTTGCAGATGACATTGTGCTAGTAGCAACAAGCCCTAGAGCATTGTAGAGGCTCCTGGGAGAGATCTGTAATTCCTGAAAAGAGTTTTGCCTGGCTATCTACCCAGGAAAGACAAGTGGATGAAGAATATATATTACCCAGATGATAGCATAAAATTAAATGGAAAACCTGTAAAACTTAGCCAACTATATATATAATAAACAGAGGGAGGAGAGCCAGTGAGCAGATTGCTTTAAGGAAACAACATTTCAGAAACAAAGGCCCATCTTTTCAAACCAATGTTTTATCAGTGGTGTTATATGACTTCAAGCCTTGGAACACAACCATTTCTAAAGACTTGAAAATGAATTGTACAAAAAGTGAAGGAAAGGTATATGGTGGGTAGGAGAAACAAATAACCAATGAGAATCTTTGAAGAAGAGCAAGAGTAAGAGATAATGTCAGAAAAATGTATGATAAGAAGAGAAGAGGAGCTGAATTTCTGGCTAAAGAAATAACACATGGACAGTTTGAGTGCCCCACTGGTGTCTTCACACTGTCAGGAGTAAGGGAAAATGTTCTCTAGTACAATTGTTGAACCGCCTGTTGTGAACTATGGGAAGACACAGGCATGGACAGATAAAGCTTCCCGTATCCGTTACTGAAGCAAGCATCCAGACTAATGAGATCATAGATTTATTTGAGCATGTGTGTGGCACTGTGCTACTCTGTGCAGCTACAAAAACAAGAAAGAAATTGGTATCATTCTGCAAGAAGCTTGTATTTCACTGAAAACTCCTATATTTATTGAATTGAGTTATGTGACTTTGAGTAAGTTCCTTAATTCACTCAGCTTACTTGTACAATGGATATATAATGATAACTACCATGTAGAGCTGCACCATGATGGCTATTTTTATTTATTTCATTTATCATGTTTCTAATGAGTCAGCCGAATGTTTCAGTTCAATCATTCTTTGACAATATTTCAAGTTCTATAGAACAAAAGAGCTATTGAAATGGGAGTCCAGGTTGTGGTCAGAAAAAGCAGGACCTAACGGCAAGTGGGTTCTTTTTTGACTACTCTGTATGTCTATGACACAGACACAGATAAAGTGCCATGATTTTTTGGGAATTTTTAGAGAAGCAAATATAGTACTTATTTTTCACATATCTTTTCATCTTGAGAATGCCTTCAGTATCTAATTACCCTGTCCTCTCAACTTCTGATGGTGCTCTGACCTTGAGGAATACTTTTTTTTTCAACTTCTGAATTGAATGTTGTCAGCATTCATTAATTAACTGATTTGAACAACCCAACTGCGAGGTAATAAAAATGAAAACATTTGTGTTTTTTCTTTTTACTCATTTTTAATTGCATTTATCACACACAATTTTAATTTAATTGAATGCTTGAAAGCAAATCGGAAGAAAAGAAGATGAGATTTGTTAGCCTCTAATTCTTTGTATTTAGATTTGCTTGACTGCAGAATATAAGAAAAAGGAGATATTTCTGAAATTGAAATATCAAACAAGCAACAAATTTTTACTTAGAGAGAGACAGACAGAGACAGACAGGTTGGATGAATGATTCTGGGAAGAAGGTGACTTGTAGAGAAGCTGGTCAAGAGTTCTGTCTTCCCAAGCTCTCACTAACTCACCCATCATACAAGTGCAGATCATTGAATAATCAGATTCCAACAATGAAGAAAATCTTATGCAATGGGATTTGAACCTCTCTACAATAGGATTATAAATTTAGATTGGAAAGGACCCTAGTGGTCATCTCATTTGACTCTTTATTTTACAGTTGAGGAAAATGAGACCTAGAGAGATTGTGACTTGCCCAAGGTGGAGAGTGACATGGTAACATTTACATTTAAGGATAGTCACTTTGGCAGCAATGTGGAGTATTGATCAGAGAGAGAAGAGGCTTTTGGTAGACCATTAGTAGGCCATTGTCATAGTACAGGCAGGAAATGATGAATGAAGGTGGTGGCTGTCAACAGAGGGAGTTTGATGTAAGAGATGTTATGGAGGTAGAAAGACAAGATTTGGTAACTGATTGGATATGTGGGATGAATAAAAAAGGTAACAAACTTGGAAGACTTGACTGAAATAGGGAAGTGGAAGGGTGAGTTTAGAGAGGCAAACGTCTTGGTTTTAGATATGTTTGGCTCTAACCCCTTAATTCTATATGCTCTCACAAATCTGAATGGCTCAAACACACTCCTCACTTTCTTGGCTCCATGCTTTTATTCAAGCTATTTTCTTTTCCTGAAGATATTGTGATATAATGGAAAAAAAAACACTAGAGTTGGAATAAGAGAATCCAGATCCAAATCATGATAAGGCCTTGGGCAAGTTACTCTTTGGGTCTCAGTTTCCTTGTTTGTAAAATGAGGGAGTTGGATTAGAGGACCTTTAAGATTCTTTCCTTCTCTAAATCTATAATTTTATGGTGCTTTCCAGCTCTAGATCTTATAGAACTGTCCCTCCCCTGAAGCCCCAATAATCTTTGCCTATTCAAGAGAGGGAGGACAGATGGACAGCTCAAATGCTCTACTGGATTCCTCAGTGTCAGGAGAAAGCAGCCTACCCACCCAGTTCAAACTTTAACTTTGCTAAAAAACCTTCCCTGAATTTCCTCAAACAGATGTGATCCATCCTTCCTCTGAACTCACTTGATTTTTACTTTGCTTCTGACATATCCTATTTTCTCTTGTACAGTCACTATTGGTGTACCTTTATCCCTTCTATTAGACTGTAAACTCCTTGAGTTGAAATTGTGTTGGTTTTCATCATTTGTATCCTCCATAGAACCTGGTACAGGGTGATGCCCAGAGTATGTACTCTATAAATATTTCCTGAATGGACTTGAATTTGTGGCTTTTGAAGTACCCTCTTCCTTCCATTTCCAAAAATGGTATATGTGGATGTGTATATGTTTGTGTGTGTATGTATACCCACATATATACACACATAAACATATCTATCTATCTATCTATCTATCTATCTATCTATCTATCTATCTACTTAAACTTCACTTTGTCTTGGGAATTTTGCAATACCCTAGGAGGGATGTGGAGATATCTGAAACCAGGTCACTTCTATACTCTAAAATTCTCATTGATTTTAGGGGTGAGAATCCCTGTAGGACTGGAAGTACTAAAAATAAATTTTCATGTTAAAGAGTTCTCAAAATAATATATGTTTAAGTAGTAATCAGGAATGGAAGAGGAAGGGAAGAGTATTTGCCAAATGATGATTGAATAAAATGTTCTAAGAGTCAGACAGAGCATCTAGGAGCTCTGGGCCTGGAGTCAGGAAGAACTGAGTTTAAATCTAGCCTCAGACACTTACTAGCTGTATGACCCTGGGCAAGTCACTTAACCTTGTTTGCCTCAGTTTCCTCATCTGTAAAGTGAGCTGGAGGAATGGCAAACCACTCTAGGATTTTTGCCAAGAAAACCCTAAATGAGGTCTCGAAGACCGGGACATGACTGAAAACGACTAAACAACAACAAGGTCATACAGTAGCAAGGGCAGGGTCCACCAGAGCCATGAAAAAATAGTCAATGATGTACTAGCCCAGAAGGGGAAAACAGAAAGGGAAGGGGTGTGTGTGTGTGTGTGTGTGTGTGTGTGTGTAAATAAAAGCTTTTGCTCCTTTTCCAACATACCCTTTGCAAGATGGTTGATTGCTACTTCTTTTTCTTTCTGTGACAGGAAACAGAAGAAGAAAAAGCATATGAAGAGATTGAAAGAAAGGTTTGTATTAACACATTCGGTAGATTTATTTCTCCTCCACTGAAGAAGGGGATTTGGGTTTCTAAACTGTACATGGTAGAATAGTCATGTGGGATAATATTTACACAAGTACTTTGTGGGAGTAAAACATGACATGATTTTAAATCATTGTTATTATTACTATTATTTTTCTTGTGATTATAACTATCTTTATTATTATACAGCGGACTATAGCAGGTAGACAGATGACCTTAGAATCAGGAAAATCTGGGTTCAAGTCCTACTCTTGTCACCCACAGGTCACCAGGTTGTGAACCTGGTCAAATCACTTAACTGTTTAGTGCCCTGGGTAATTGTCTAAGATAAAGGTATAGAACTGTTGAAGATCTGCTTTGGTAGAAGGAATTTATTTATGGGCAGTTTCCTATCCCAATGAAATCACAGCCTCAGAAAACATGATGATGATAGTAATAATAATTAATATTCATATTACATATTATCAAATATTATAAGGGTTATGGTACCATTGGGGAAAGATGATGACTCTAGTGAGGTAGCCATGTTCTGTAACAGGATGAAAAAACATTATCTTCATGATTATTTCACTGTTGTTGTTGTTGTTGTTGTTAGTCTCTGGATGACTGGCAATAGTCAGGGTCACATCATGTACATGATCTTCCACACCTTCACCCTAAATCTAGCATCTGGCTTCTCCTGGGTTAGCAATTGAACTTGAAGGAAATGAAATGTGCTAAAGCATTTTAAATGGGTGGGCCAATTCACTCTGAAGGGGAATGAAAAGCAGAAAAGTGGAAACCTTCCTGTGTAGTGCATTAAACAGCCATCACCATAAGTTATGCCCAAGCTCAGCACCTCATGGAGTAATAGTCCCAGTGATGGGATCCCCATCATTGTGGAACCCATGTTTAGGGTAGTCATAAAACCTGAACTCCAGAACTCTCCATCATGCTAAGGACATTTGAATGGACTAAGCTTTGGGAAATAGATTGCCAGATAGCTCAGAGGGGTTATGGTACTCTAGGGGGGAAGATGATGGCTGCAGCTAGGTAGCTATGTTCTGTAGCAGTAGATTAAAAAAAACTGGGCAGACTTCGATTTTTATAATGCTGCTTTGAGCAGTTCTGCAGGAAACCTTGAAGCTGATGACACTTAAACAGTGACTTATTTAATAGTCAAATGATGATAATTGTCTTCTCCCTATACTTTGCCCTTTCCTCCCCTAGGCCAAGTCAATAGTTCTATTTCAGAAAGTTATAATCATATTCTTTTATGATTTTTTGTTGACATTTTTGGGTTATTGTCGCAGAACTAAAATATAGTCTTATTTCCTGGCTCCATTTTTGCTATATAGATGTTTAGCGAGTGGAGGCAGTACAAAGAGAACTGGACCATGATCCTAGAGAAGACCATAGGGTCTAGTTTTTGTTCTTCCACTAACTTGCTCAGTGTCCTTGGGAAAGTAATTATAACCTTTCTATGCCTCAGTTTCCTCCTCTGTAAAATTAAGATAATATTGGCCCTGATTACCTTACAGGGTTATTATGGGGATTAAATGAGATCCTTAATGTGAAGGTGATTTTTAGAACATTATATGCTCTATGCTAAACTATGAGCTCCTTCAGAGCAGGTTATGTTTTGTTTTGCTTCATTTTGCCTTTCTTTGTATCCTTAGAAACTTAGCACAGCGTCTGGAACAAAGTAGCTCTTACTAAATGCTTGTTGAATAACAGAAGTAATTTAATAGGAAATGAATTAAGTTGTGTAAGATAAGTACAGTAGCTATCTATTAACCAGAAATTTTGAAGAAGTTGTCCTTCTTTGTATAGGAGAGTTTATCTTGATTAACTAAATTGCAAGCTTTTCTGTAGGATGTACTATGTACTTAAGTACATTTCATTTCTGCCCCTCCTCCCAAATCCCTTAGCCCACTCTTAGTGTATCACACATAGCAGCCTCACAATAAAGAAATATTTGTTGATCTGATGTTTTGCTGGTCATGAATCTTTCATTACCTGCCTGTGTAGCATCTTAAACTATTATAGCTCTTTGACATATGGAGGCTAAAAATTGCTGCTAGAAATAGAATAAACACCTTCAATCAGTATGAAGCATACTTTAAAAAATTCTTATTTTTTGATGTATTTCAAAATGTAGATTATATCCAGTTGAATTGACTTGAAAATTGCTAAGCAGAATTGACATTTACATAAACTAAAAAAAAACAAAAACAAAAACAAAAAAACCCAATCCATCACAACTAACAATTGAAAAAACTCACAAAACTTTCCAAAACAAATTGTGTTCTTAGTGGAACTCTTTGTGAGCCCAAACCACTACTGGCTTTGCAGGTTCAGATGTTCTTTGGTCCATGGGCAGGTTCATGGCTTTCTTAATGCATAGAAAACTGCAGCTTGACTACTTGTTAGCAAGTATTTAACTTGATTATTGTGAACAAGTCTGATCTAGAGAGTTATTAAATGGAGTTCTAATTTATAGCTGATGAAAGCAAAGAGAAGAAAATAATGGTAATAATAATGATTACATATTTATAAGGCATTTTGTGGTTATAAATGGCTTTCATATATGTTATCCTTATATTCTTATAAAAATGCTTTGTAGGGAGCTAATTCTTGGAAGGATGAATCCTAAAGTTAAAGTGTTGTTCTTAAACTTAGACTGTCACCTTCAGAAACTAGAACAAAGTAGGGAATATTTTGGGATATTCAATTGTTTCTATTATAGTTAATGTTCTTATATATAAATCACTTCTGACTTCCAAGTGTCGAGAGACATTGCAAAAGGTACCAGGTTATGTATAAAAAATAATAAGAATAAAATGTGAATTATAAAAAGTTCTTGCCAAAGCTAAGAAAACAATTATAATTCTGATTAATCATGTGCATACTAGTAGGTAATAAAGCCCCATAATTTAAGATTTTTAGCATTTGCATTGAACATGAAAGTATGAAGTATTATATTACCTTTTAGAACTATGTTTTGCAAGTTTCATGATAATATTAAAGATAATTAAAATGACATCAAGGCAAAACACATTAAATATGTAGGCACAGGAATAAGACTATGGCAAAAAAATTTGCATTGTAGGGAGTGAACACTAAGCATTTATTGAGTAACATGTATGTATACAGTAATAGTCTAAGTGTCCCAGGGAAATGACTGGGTAGACATAATTGGGGGAACAAAAGCTGGGATCATTGGATTATAGATTTAGAGTTATCAGAGATCTTTATAGGTCTCTAGGCCACCTACTCCCTTTAATTTTATTAGGAAGCTGAGGCCCAGAGAAATTTAAGTATTTACTCGTGGTTCCACATGTAGGAAGTAGCATGGTTGGAATTAGAACTCAGGTCCTCTTGACTCCCAAGTCCAATATCTTTTCCATTGCACCACACTTGGGGATGGAAATAAAGATTAGACCCTTGCCTTTGAGGAATGATCAGAGACAATTTTGAAGCAATGGTCATGATTACCTATGCCAATTAGTGAGCCTTATTCCTTGGGTGAAGTTACTTTGTGTCTATGTGCGTAGTTGGGTGCCTCTTGTCCTGATGGTACCTCCTTTCTGGTCTTTATTCAGATTTGGGCCTTGAATGCTTTAGCGATGAAGCATTGAGATACATTCTTTACTGTAGGTTCCAGGTTATTTGCTCTAGGACTAACGGAAGACATACTTGAAGTTGTGAGTCTTGTATATCTTCTCCTACACAATGTGATAACCAAGCATGAGTTGGAAAATTCCTGATTTAAATTTTATTGATCCAGAGAAATTCTTGATCAAGTACTTCTGGGTAGCTAAACTGGAACATACAGTATCTGTTTTGTGAAAAAGGAGTGAATAGATAGAGGGGTAAGTTGGTTCCTCAGCTGTTCAGGTGTACTTTACAAGAATCCATCATTTCTCATGTGACTCTCCTTTTTATTGGGGAGAATCTCCCAGGAAATGGGATCAGTCTTTGGACCTGATCTTTCTTCATATACTCTTTGATTTTGCTCTTATGGTTCATACTAGCCTTTATATTCTCTTATTTCCCAAACTATGTTTCTAACCCTGATGGTTCACCATCTGTAACTAGGGTGGGGTGACTGGGGTGTTGGCCTTGGACATCCAAATACAGAGAATGTTGTCAACATTTACCTTCCTTTAGCAGAACAGAAATAACTTAGTTTAGTACCTCATTAGAAAGAATAATTAAACTATCAAGGGACCTCAATGCTCTTGATTCCTCCTCACCAGTGGCCTCCCACCAGGCTGAGCTTATCCCCCTCTTGAGTGGAACAGACTTCCTGTGTTCTAGAGTCTCTGTTTCCCCTGTCCCCTCCCAATCTGAGTTTGTCTTAAAAGATTGATTTGATGGTACTTTTATTATAGCTCATCCCTAGTATGTTTTGTGAATATTGCTCAGGACATGAAAAATGCTTGTTACATCTCTGCCTTTCAGTGCCATAGAAACATCCCCTTCAGGAAAACTTCCATAATCTGCTTCCTCTTCTCCCCTTACCCCAATGTGCATACACACAATGCACACAACACACACATATACAACTAAAAATGGAGATTTAAAGCAAGAATTTTAGTATAAGGAATACTGAATGATCCTGAGATTTTGGCTGCTGAATCTCTTAGCACAGGGGTAGGGAACCTGTGGCCTCGAGGCCATGTGTGGCCCTCTAGGTCCTCAGGTGTGGCCCTTTGACTGAATTGGATTAGTATTATGTGTGTGTGTGTGTGTGTGTGTGTGTGTGTGTGTGTTTAAATCACCAGCAACGTATTTCCCTCATCTAACAGGAAATTCTAGGCCATGAGTTATTTCTGGGAAGTTCCCCAGACTAAGGTTCTCTCCTGATGTTTCACCATGGCTTGCAAATCACCCAGAACTTTTGAAATATTAGTGAAGTCCAAGCTTTGTCAGTCCTTAACTAGACAGAAAGACTTTGTGGATGGGCTTTTGTTGTGTGGTAACCACCTTTGTACAGTACCT